ACACACACACTGACATGATGCCCCATTACCCCTAAATACTAATGTGTAACTCCTAAAAATAAGGACACTCTCTTACATCACAACCCTATAACCCAATCAGAAAATCAACATTGTGACAACACAAGCATCTAATCTATGGACTCCATTCAAATTTTTCTAGTTCCAACAACTTTTCTTTTTTTTCTTCCTGGTTTAGAATTCTATTCAGAAATTGACTCTGCCATGTGTCTTAGTCTTTTCAGACTACTATAACAAAATGCCATAGACTGGGCAGCTTATAAGCAATATTATTTTTCAGAGTTCTAGAGGCTGAAATTTTGAGATCGGATGCCAAGATGATTGGGTTAGGGTCCTCTTTCAGGTAATAGATTTCTTGTTGGATCTTCGTGTACAGGAGAAAAAATTTCCTTCTACCCTTCTGTGTTCCTGGCTAAGACCACTCTATAATATAAGACATTAACAGGAGAGCCTGGCTGGTGTAACTCAGTGGCTGAGTGTCAACCTATGAACCAAGAGGTCATGCACGGTTCGATTCCTGGTTAGGGCACTTGCCCAGGTTATGGGCTTGGTCCCCGGGTGTGTGTGTGTGTGTGTGTGTGTGTGTGTGTGTGTGTGTGTGAGAAAATAAATAATTATATTTTATAGTGGAGGAAAAACTTTCCCCTACCCTTCTACATTCTGTTGGCTAATCTAATAATTAAATTGACATCAAACAGATTAACAGGAAACAAAAACAAATTTTATTTCATACTGTTGACTGTAAACAAAAAAGTTGGCTAAGTCTTCCTTAAGAAAGAGTTATTGGGAGAAAAAGAAAGAATTGCAATTTTGTGCCTCTAGCCATGGTGCGCCATGTGCAAGGCCCGGGGGGAACACAGGGTGGTAAAAGTTCTTATATAGAGGGAAAAAGGGACAGGGGTGGGGCTGTTATGACCATAGAGTTCTTCTGAAAGGGCTTTTGCAACTGACATAGGTCATGAGAGCTCCTCCCACAGGCCCTCCAGATTGAAACTGTTTTTGATTATTGTGATAGATTTGAAAGTTTTAAATCAGTATTTTGGCATAGATGAAGTCAATGATGTCACCTCAATGCTTTTTAATGTAGCTTTTGTTGAAGGTCTATAAGATGAACTTGAACAACAGGTTAAAAAAAAAAAGGTACAACTAATTGGGCCACAATGCAAACCCATGATTTAGTAAATTATGCTGAGTGATTCTCCTGAGCTATCCAAAAAGATATAAAAAAAAAAGAAAGCTATATACCCCTAAGTCCTCAATTTAGGCAACTCGAGTAATAAGCCTACAATTATCAGCTAAATCTACCTTTCAAGATCCCCAAGGCAAACCACCATTCAAAGGAGTTTATAATTATCGCAAAAAGCCTGAACATTTGGGGGGGGAGGGGGGGGAGAGATGTTTAAAGCTCAAAAAGGCAATTACAAGGCCAACAGCCCATAAAGTTTGCAAATCCTTCTCAAGGATTCCAACCTAAATTTTCTCAGCAATAGGACCGCTTCAAAGATCAAAAGGGGATTTTTTTTTTTTCCTATGCTCCTAACTAATTTTTTAAGAGAAATTCATCTGTCTATTGGGGATGAGATAACTACGACCCTACTAGATACCCCACCAGCCTCACCATTCCCTTCCTTGCGGAGGCTGACCAGCAGCCCCTGAATGACGGATGAACAGGTTCCTCCCACACAGTTTCACTGTGGGGCAGAAGGCTAAGGGGCCTCCAGGCTTAAGAAGCCAGGCCGCCTCGATTGCCTGCCTCCTTAGGCTTTTATTGGAATTTTTATCTTTAGATGCAATCAGTAGGGTGAGTAATCTTGGGAGGACACATGTGTTTACATTGTCCTCTAGGCCAGGGCATCCAAGAATTAAGCATAAGGATTCCCGTAAACAGCTGGGGGTCTGCATATGCACAGACTTGTTTGGAAAGGTCAAGGAATAATTAGGGGCGCCGCCTTCGACACCCCCAAAAGTCTCCCCTAAGTCAGAATTCCTATAAACAGGGCAGGTGGCCTTCCACACACTTCCCTTTTCTCAGAATGTCCTCTATACAACTTTCCAACAAGTCTCTTGTGCTCCCCAACACTTCCTAAAACCATAAAAAATGGTAGGAGTTCACAATTAACCCATGACTATCTCTAAATCCCCTCCAATTCTTTTTCAACTTGGATCTATTTTAAAAATCCACTGATTTATTTGGGTTCCCTCAGCCCTTATTGATCTCCTAGGATGAAACTTTCTTGAATCTTACAAATCCCATTTTTTTTTCTAAAAGGGGGAAATATTCTTATATCTTGAGTTTTTAACCAATTAACTGCCACGCATCCAAAATGGAAACCATCCCCACCTGCCACAATATTTTGAATTAAATTTAAAAAATTAATTTACAATGAATATTATAAAAATAAATATATTACTCACAATTCGGGTGTTTTTGAACATTTTCAGTTGAAAATTATCATAAAAAATGATTTTAAAGCATCTATAGATGCTTATGGCATACAAAGGGTTAAGGAATGAACCTCAAGAGGACTTATCAACAAAGCAACATGAGGTATCAAAGAAAAACTTCAGTTCTATAAAATTCAAGTTAAATATGTAGTTACTGATAATGGTCTCACATTGGATTCTGATAGAACCCAGAGGATTTTTAATTTTCCTATTGCCAAGACTAAATGGCAACTCAGGAGATTCCTAGGTTTGTGCTGCTAGTGTAGAAAATGGATTCTAATTTTCTGTCTTGACTCAACATTTACACTCTCTTCTCAAGGCTGAACAGACAAAGGGCCTTCACATAGACAGAGGAATCCCATAAAGCCTTCAAAGAAAGAAAAGGCAGTCTTGCCGAAACCGGTTTGGCTCAGTGGATAGAGCGTCGGCCTGCGGACTGAAAGGTCCTAGGTTCGATTCCGGTCAAGGGCATGTACCTAGGTTGCGGGCACATCCCCAGTAGGAGATGTGCAGGAGGTGGCTGATCGATGTCTCTCTCTCATCGATGTTTCTAACTATCTCTCTCCCTTCCTCTCTGTAAAAAATCAATAAAATATATTTTTTAAAAAAGGGTAATTAAGCAGTCTTTAAGCCCCTCCTGCTTTGAGACATCCTAATTGTCAATCTTCCTTTTCCTCTTTGTTTGTGAAAGAGAGAGAAATGCCTTAGGTGACTTAGCTCAGCAACATGAAGCCAACATAGACCCTTGGATACTAGAGGCAACAATTAGAGCTGGTGGCCAAAGGTCTCCCTCCCTGTGTGAGAGCTATTCCAGCCACTGCCAATTTACTACAGCATTTAAGAGAGACAGTAATGGACCCCCCAATGACTATGTGCCTCATTCAATGGAAGTCTTACTTTCATCATAATCAGCCCCTTTCTGCTAGCAGACTAACCTCCTATGGAGTTCTTTCATTGTCTTTAGCTAATGTGACTTGTTCATTGTAATACTCTGAGTCCTCCTATCTACTCTCTTCCCTCTGCTGACTAAATCCCTCCTGAGTGCCTGACGTTAACAGACAGAAGACTAACTCCTTAAATTGATTTATAGGAAGCACCTCTCAAAAATGCTAAATTGGTTTGGTTTACTGATTGCTCTTACCTAAAAGATGCAGGCCACAATCAAGAAGGCTATGCAGTTATCTCTCTTCCGGAGGATGAGGCCCAGAAATCAGGATTTTAAAAAGATTCCCAGGTGATTCTAAGGTGCAGCCAAGGTTGAGAACCACTGCTCTAAATGCAACCACTAAGGCCAGTTCAATGCCTCAGGCAACTTCTACTCATCAAGCAGAACTCTGCATTAATTTGAGCTTGCAATATGGCCAGAGGTAACACTGCTAACATTTATACTGTCAGTGGACACCTTTTGGTGTTGTCCAAGACTTTGGTATGCTATGGAAACAGAAAGGATTCTCTCACTCAGGAGGGATTTAGTCAAGAATTGGATTTTGTCTTCCAGACAAAAGACAAAAAAACAGTTCTAATGCTTTAGAATTCTTAGAGGCTAATCAATTGCCTAAGTCCTTACCAATTACAAAAGATCCTGGACATTCAATGGCAGACATGGAATTTAAAAAAAGGTCATCATTTGGTTGACACTGCTGCTAAGTTAGTAGCATTAAAACCATCTCAGCCTCTAATGGAAGCACCTATGCTACCAGCTGAAGCACTTGGAGATTTAAAAGATAACATTATGGAAGCACAGAATGTAGCTGTTTGACAAAATAGAAAGAAATGGTTAGAACAGTCTGTAAATTGGCCCAAAAAGAAACTTATGAGTAGGTCCAAATGACCAACCACTCTTCCCTGATTGCTTACATCATCCTATCTAATAAAAGACAAAAAGGGTAATTAACCATACCTCCACTACACTTCCCATTGGCTAATCAGGGTGATATGCAAATTAACCACCAACAAAGATGGTGGTTAATTTGCTTATGTAGATGCGATGCTGGGAGGCAAAAGGGGAAGGACAGAAAAACGACGATGGCAGTGATCAGAAACCCAGGAGGCAAGAGCCGGGTAGCCCTGCCCCCGCCCTGGATCAGAGAACCGGGGCAAAGGCCTGCCCCCCACCTGGTGATTGGAGAAGCCGGGTGGGGCTGTGAAGAGGCTGCCAGCATCTGCCTCTTCCCTGCCCCCCACCCCGGCGGTGATTGGTGACCCTGCGAGGCAGGGAGGGACCCAGAACACGCGGAAGCCTTCCTGCCTGGCCACAGGGGACCAGATTGCATCCCCGGTGGCAAGGCAGGGAGGGACCCAGAACTTGGGGAAGCCGGGTCTTTTTTTTTTTTTTTTTTTTTTTTTTGTTGATTGTGTAATTATTTATTACAAATAAACAGTGGTTACAGAACTGGGCTGGAGATCCTGGCTAGAGAACCTGGCTAGGCTGCTGACCAACTGAATGCTGTCTCTGTGTCATTCCTTCTCCGCCGACTCTATATACACCTTTGGGAACCCCTGGACCTGCTGGGGTTGGACCCCAACAAATGGCGCAGTAGTTCCTGCAGGTTCTCTCTTCCGTCTTCAGAGCCAGTGGCCCTCCCTGTGCTGAGCAGCTAGGAAGCCCCTGTCAGCGAGCTTGTAGGAGCTTGAAACCATTGTCACCCCTCCGACTCTTACCAGGAGGGAAACATGGTTGAAGCTGATCGCCCGGGAAAGCTCTTCATTGGTGGCCTCAATACAGAAACAAATGAGAAAGCCCTTGAAGCTGTATTTGGCAAATATGGACGGATAGAGGAAGTACTCTTGATGAAAGATCGTGAAACCAACAAATCGAGAGGATTTGCTTTTGTCACCTTTGAAAGTGCAGCAGATGCTAAGGATGCAGCCAGAGATATGAATGGAAAGTCCTTAGATGGAAAAGCCATCAAGGTAGAACAAGCCACCAAACCATCATTTGAAACTGGTAGGCGTGGACCACCTCCACCTCCAAGAAGCAGAGGCCCTCCAAGGGGTCTTAGAGGCGGAAGAGGAGGAAGTGGAGGAACCAGGGGACCTCCCTCAGGAGGAGGGCACATGGATGATGGTGGCTATTCCATGAATTTTAGCATGAGTTCTTC